ACAACTAATCTTCTCGGAAAACATAAAAAATCTGATTTGAAACTAACAGACAGCGCCTTACGTGGTGAAGGCGCAGCAGCGGCTGAAGTACTGGATGGTGACGGAGCGGCTCCAGCGGATCTCGGGGCGCTACGAGGAGATGAAGGCTGAAGAGTGGACCATGGACTTCCTGCGGGCCTGCGGGAATAACCTCACACTAGGGTAAAGTGCCGAACATGGATCGGGGTACCAATCATGGATCATTTTTGTTAGCGAGCTCGTACCGCCAAACCAATCGACCAATTTCATTTTTTCAAAATTTTTCATTTAGTTGGCACTTTTGACTGCTAGAATCACGCGCGGGGGAGCTGATCAATCTAACCGTTACACTTACAATACACAAATAAAAAAGTGCCTCTGGAAAGGGGTCCGAAAACGGCCTGTTTTCAGGTTAGGTTAGGAGTCAAAATTCGAAGTGTTATTACAAAGAATCCATTCATCAGAAATGCCTCAAAATTTTTTCGAGGCACCTTCAGAGTGTACCGTTTCATAATTTAGAGGGCCGGAAGTTATCGGACCACCCCTGTCAAAACGCGAGGGGGGATCCATCTTTGGGTCAGACCCAAATATGGATCACTTAAGGGGGGACATCACTCCAAAATGATCAAAAATTGCAACTTTTTTTTATTAGTTTATATTATAGACCATTCCTTTCTGCGTCGAATGGTGAAAACCGCATTCCGGAATTCAAAAAATTGCAGTTTTAGTACGTTGTGCGCCGCAAACATGCATAGGGGAAAAGCCCAGTTTCCCCAACTTTGATCGCGTTTTTCTCGGAACATGAAATTGCAAACGGTTGCAGGCCTCTAGGGCGCAGTTTTTGAGCTACAGCGGGGAGATTTAGCATGGAAGCTTCTACGACATGCCGCTATGGTGGGTAGCAAAATAATTTGCATTGGTCAATTTTTATTATTTTTTTAACGTTTAAAATTGAACAATTTTGACCAAAAAAATTGAACAATATTTTTTGGTATGTAACAAACACAACTTAAAATGATTTTTGAAATGTGATTGAGGTACCCACCATAGCCAGACATCTCTGGAAGGCTGTCACCAAATTTCAATGTTCTAGGTTAAACCGTTTGGCGTCCAGCGCTGCAACAGTGCGAAATGGTCTAACCTAACACTCAAAAATGTGTTTTCAACGAAAGCGCTGTACTGCCCTGGCGGATTGACTTTGTGTTGTTTTATACTTAATCTGTTAAAATATGAACAATTTTTCTCTTTCCGTTTGGTTTTTATGACGTTTTTACAAAAGCACTGTTTTTGGAGTGATGTCCCCCCTTAAATCAGTGAAAATTCAAAGCCCTGTAAATTTCAAAGTATTTGTCATTCATTGTTCAGTTCTTGAGAAGAGGTTGTCTTTGTGGTAATCTCGGAGTTAAACGAAGAAAATTTAGGTCATCGCTTGTTTGAGCTGAAATACAGAACATTTCTAAAATGTGATCCATGTTTGGTAACCTTACCCTTTAGTGGGTTTATGGGTACCAAGGTGGGCCAACTGGTAGTTGGGTTTCCTTTTTGGCCCGCCCTTCTATTCAAAAAATAGGGGGAGGGCCTATGCATTTGCCTTTGTGTCTGTGTGTTGTTGTTGTTGTTGTTGGCGTCTGTGTACAAGGAAGGAGTTGAGCTAGAGTAACCAGATTTGGAGGGTACTTCAGGAGTACCGTCCAAACAAATAATCCGGTGGTGCAAATCCCGTCCGGGTCGCTTATTTACATACCGTGGGCGATTCAGCGCGGTATGAGAATTATGGCGATCGGAGCATTCCCGCTCCAGGGGACTGGGACACGGAAGGTAGGACAGGTGATAGCCACTTCTTCCGTGCAGTAGACACTAGCGTGTGTCAAGAATGCTGCTGAGTCCTCAAAACGCAAAGGAAATACATTTCCAGAAATAACTTAAAAAGACTCTTAAATGATCTTGATCATACAAACACAATTTTCTGTTCAAATGATATTGCTGTGAAGATACTTGATGTAGCCATCAGTTTAGCATAATGTAGGATGCAATAATAAAAAACCTTTTTTAAAAAGAAAGATATTTTAGATCAATGAAAAATCAACACATCTTTACATGTTCATTTTAAGGGGTGTTAAGCCTGTTGGTGGTCAAAATATGACCTTTTATCCCTTTAATGGTCCGTTAACTATAAATAATTTAGATGTACTGCTCCAAAATTGCAGCTCCACTTTCTTGGAAGTGAGGATATCCTCTATGAGAGAGATCAAATGAAAGCGACAAGTTTCCGTAAACTGACTTGTCAAAAAATCTTGCGAGCCTCATTTTTAAAGTAACCATAAGGTGAACATAATTGAACATTGATTGAACATGATTGAACATAAAATGTTTTTGAACTTGTCTTTCAGAGAACTCCAAGTGTAAGCAGGACTATTTTGATATTGTTAATGGTCGTTGAGATCAAGAAAAATAAAAAGTTTTAACTTATAAAATTTTTAGGTGTTGATCACTTTTAGCAATATCAAAGTAGTGTGGTGTACACTTATCGTGCACCTACAAAGAAGTTGAAAAACATTTCTGCCAATTAAATATTATCATACATGGTTTTAAAAAAATTGGGAACTTTTTTCCAACCTTTACGACAAGTTAGTTAACGTAAACTTTTTGCTAACTTTTGAACAGTTTAACATTAACTTGTCGCTAACTTTTGAAAACTTTTTCTTAGGAAATCCGCAACTCCCTCTAAATCAGAGAAGATGAAACTCAAATTTTTATACAGAACCACTATATTCCTCGAAGTTTCTGATCTGTTAAGTGTAACGTAACAAATTTAGTCGTTTCTCTCATCACTCCTTCTAATACCAAAATTGAGTTTCCACCCTTCCTCCCCAAAAAAATTAGTCTAGAAGGACATACAAATTGGATTGCAGCTTGTTGCACTATCCCTTTTAGTCAGTTAATAAGAAAATATTAATTATCTTGACATTTCAACAGAATTTTTTTTTCTAATCCTTACAATTTCAAGTCGTGTTGATACTTTTTTCGGAAATGACTTCAAATTGAAATTTAAGGACACATTGGGTGTGTGGTACATGGGAGTCCACTAGAATAGTGGCCAAATCACATGTCCCGTAAAGCGGGGATGCTCCGACCGCCATTATTCTCATACCGCGCTGAATCGCCCACGGTATGTAAATAAGCGTCCGGGTCGCACAAGGGCTGCTGCAGGTGCATCATGGTTTACATGAGCGGGAGGGGGATTTCCGCCATTATTGGTGCTAGCAGGGCACATAGGGGTATTTTTGGAATCAAGGCGACGAGACAAGATGAATGGACCTGGTCCCGACCCCATCGGCTGCTTTTACAAGTTGGCCAGATCAGGATCTTGAAAAAAGGGGGTCGACCAACTAAAAAAATTTATTGCAGATTTCGATTGGTCTCAGCAAGACCTTTTCAACGAGGGGTCGGAAAGGGGGTCCAGGAGCCCGACTTCGTCTATTAGTAACATCAGGATCTTGAAAAAAGGGGGTCGACCGACTGAAAATTTTTACTTTAGTTTTGGATAGGTCTTGGCAAGACCTCTTCAACGAGGGGTCGGAAGGGGGGTCCAGGAGCCCGCCTTCATGAGTTATGGGAAAAAAAGTGCGACGGCTCGTTTTGCGCTCCTGCTGTGCCTCTATTGCAAGGAGTTGCAGTAGCATGGCAAATATGGGTATTTTCGGAATGAGGGCGAAGAGACAAATGAAACGGGCATATTCTTAGGACAGTTGGAGTAAAAAGTGTAAGGACTATTGCATATTGTGAATAGAAGGGCGGGCCTAAGTCACGATGGTACATCGATAACTTTGCTTTACCCGCTCACGGTGTGTGTGATGCGAGCGGGCCGAAGGCCCGGGCCTTCGACTGGCCAAGTTGGGTCTGATGCGAGGGCCGAAGGCCCGAGAAAAGGCCGCCGGCAGGCCAAGCTGGGCCGGCCCCCTGTCGAACCGAGTTGCCGGCGCAGCGAAGCGGAGCTGGCAACTCGGTTCGACGGAAGGGCGGGCCCTAGCTTGTTTGGATTAAAGAAATTGCGCCTAAAATTGGTGGATTAAATTGAAGTGGGCATTTCTGCGGTGGGAGAAAGACTTTGGGTGAAGTGTCGTGGATCCATTTCTACTGCTTGGGGTTCCGGTTCGCAACCATCGGAGAGCCTATCGTTTGCTAATTTAAAAGACAGGCCTTCAAAAAGCAATGACAGATTACTAAAATACTCTGGCTACATACCATTCATGATGGGCAAAGCAAAATACAAAAGGAAGTTTCGGCACAGTGAAGCCTTCCAATTACGAATGCAATCGTTTCATGCATTTTAGTTCAGTTTGCGCTAAAATGTTCGTTTTCTGAAGCCCCATTGGAATTTTCACAGAACAAACTGATTGAGCTTCTAGCGCCGACTTTTCGCGCTTAACAGTTTTCACTTTTGTGCCTCCTTAACGTCGGATCCTTCGGGAAAAATATTGCCAGCAGTTCCTTTGTTAATTTCGTCCCCGTCATAGATTGACGAAGCCCTTCGTAAATTCACAATGAAACCTTCGTACATTAACGACGAACTTCCGTTGATTTTCAAACATCACTTTAGCAATCAAACATTTACAGTGCACTTTTATTGACAGTCCCAACTACCTTTGGAAAAAGTTCCGTCTTGAATTTACAACATATTCTTTACAGTGCATGAAAAGAAGCTATTTAAAACCGATGTACAACGCAGAGGGAAAGCGAGAATGTGTGTGTGTTTGTGAGAGAGAGAGAGAGAGAGAGAGAGAGAGAGAGAGAGAGAGAGAGAGAGAGAGAGAGGGAGGGAAGGGGGGCGGGGAGGCGTTTGCCCCGTGACGTCAGGTGTGCTGTTTGTGCCTGTACCTGCGAGATGGGAAAACACGCGGAGGAGGGGGACTTGGCTGGAGAGATGGATGCACGGGTAAGGGGGGCAGGCGAGGGGATTGGAGCTCTGCCGGACACTCACGGCCACGGCGAGACTTGCCTGGGTTGTTTCGCCGGTCCGGTTTAGTCGACGATCTTGTCTCGACATGGTCGGATTGGCAGCCCTCTTGGGCGTGTTGGTCGCCGCTCTGGCCGTCCCGTCGCAACAGCAAGAAGCAGGTAAGAGCCTCTCGGCTGCACTTACACTTAACCAACGCAACACGGCCAGACTGATGTCTGGGAATTTCCAGATATTTTATTTTCGTAATTTCAGTTATTTGTCTGGAGGAGCCTGTTTTCGTCCAGATATGTGTCTGGTTTCCACGGCAAAAATTCTTTGCAGCACAGATCGAAAGAGCATGAAATGCTAGTCCCTTCAACTCTTTGTCCCTCCCGCAACAGTCACTTTAGCCCTAACGGTAAAAGCGGAACCTGGTTTTCCCAGGAAGCCTGTGATAGAGACATAGGCGATTTCCAGGGAGTTCCTGGGAAAACCAGGTTCCGTTTTTACCGTGCTTAATGAAAAGAACAGAAAACACCGGAAAACGCAATAATTCAAACAACTCAAGACAATCCTCGGTTGCGCCATCTGTGTGACACCATTTTCTTTCTTGTTAAGGGTTTGCTAGAAGATTTAGGAAGGCCAAAGACTTAAAGAGAACTGAAATTTCATCCTCTTTCGATCTGTGCAAAGCGTTTTCCTAACACTGCGTAGTTTTCACAATCTCGAAGAAGTCTGACACCTTATCGTTTCACGTGTTCCCTGGGCCGTTGCTACCCCTGCTTTGTGTCGGTCAAAAGAAATAGAGGAGTTCATGATCGGTAGTGTACCACGAGCGAAGCTCTTTTACAGACATGCCTCTCAAGAATTGTATTTCACATCTTTCTTCCAGTCGCAAACGCAAACCTGACGCTCGGTGAAGTGGTGACCGTCGAAGTGCAGTACCACACTGACAACGGCTACATTCAGTTTCTCCTGTGCGACAGCGAAAGCTGCAGCATAATTGAAGTTCGCGGCGCAACGCCAGAGGGCGTCCTTTGGTTCAACAGCTACACTGGTTGCAACAAAGATGGGAACGCCTGTTTCTACGACAACGATGCATCATTTTACCGGAAGGTGAGTCGTTCTAGATTCCCACCACCTTAAGGAAATGAATTGGTAAGAAACGGAGGTGCTTCTGGAGAGAAGGTTGGCTAGAGTCCCGTGGTCAATTTACGAAGATTCCTGGTAATTTGGGAATCTTCTTGATCACGATGAAACATTTTAGTGGATTCACAAAGAATTTACGTAGTTTTCAAAGAATCTTCATGCGTACACGGTATAAACGGTTCCTGGTTTTCCCAGGAACTCCCTGGAAATCGCCTATGACTCTACCATAGGCTTCCTGGGAAAACCAGGTACCGTTTTTACCGTGTAGGGCAAGTCTCGCTGGGCACAGTTTGTGCACAGGAACTACCATCGCAAAGTACGATGACATATTTTTACACTGTATGGCAAAGAAGCGTATCTTCCTCTATCCCAAATGGGAACGATGTTGACGACGTTTTGAGTAATGTATCCTTGAACCACTGCAGGCGAATCAGAGCGACTATACGATGTTCAAAGACAACGAGACGCACGTGTTCGAGGTCCAGAAGCGCCCGTCCGAACTGGTGCTGTGGGTCAAGGGCAAGTACAGCGATGCCACCAGACTAGCAGTGCCAGCGAGTGGGAGGCGCTTTCTGGTGCGCCCAGCTGAAGGGCCTTCCCGCTTGCCAGTCAAGATAATGGCGGAGTCATCTTCGCTGACTTTTTCCTGGTCTGATATGGGTAAGACTGCACTCTGAATGTTTTATGTACTTCATTGTCCATAGCTATGGCCGTTTTTGTGCATACAGAACTTACGTACAAATTTGTACATAAATTGATCCAGGAAGCGGAAGAAGGGGATACAGTCGACTCTGTCATTTTGTCCATTTCTACTGTTGTCATTTTGTCCACAAGTCATCCCCACTACTTTGGCTGGACGGGCGCCCCCGGCCGGTGCCTGGCCTCGACGGTAGGGATTCCGGCGGCCTAATCCGCCCTGGCTGTTTTCATTTTGTCCGCAGCTCCTCCCGGGTAGGTGGACAAAATGACAGAGTCGACTGTAACTCAATTTTGGTCATTTTTCAGGAGAAACAAAAAACTGTTAGCAGGGAAAACTAAAACAAAACAAATGAATGTTGCAGATGTTAATAATTTCAAAAAGCATTAGTAAAATTTTGGAAAAAAAATCAAAAGTGTAAGGTCACTCCGTAGAGGATTTCTGCGACTTATCACTTTCCGCTGAAATGGAAAACAGAGTCAGCTCACCTTATATTTCCTAAACCAAGAGGAATTTTGAGACAAGTCAAGTGGAACAATAGTCTTCATAAAGTGTATGTTACTCTGGTGTATTTTTTGGACTTAGCTCTTTTTTCCAAATTGAAATTTAAAATTAAGGGGGGGTTAAGTTGAGTTGATTCTTTTTACACTAGATCCATAAAAACACAAGTTGAGTTATATCCTTTTGCCAATTTGTCAAACGGACTCATGTAGACTAAGGTTGAGTTATCTCCATTTTCCAATGAAATTTAGACTGTAAAAGGGGTTAAGTTGAGTTATACCCTTTTTCCATGTGGATTTTCTCCTAAACTGCTTGGAATTCAGTCAAATAATTTGGTGTAATGATGTAAACCATTCTAAGGCACAATAATAAAATAAAAACTCAATTTGGGGATAAGTCAAGTTATTCCCTTCTTCCGCTTCCTGGATCAATTAGGAACCATATTTCCATATTGTGCTTAAGTATGTAAAACATTGTACCTAATTTATGTACAAATTTGTACATAACTTCAGTATGCACAAATACGGCCATAGTTATGGACAGGAAGTCCATAAGCATTTAGTGTGTGCTCGGTTTAGCTTATTTCAAGGAATTTAGTGATCTATATTTGAGCTCAGCATTGATCTGCCCACAAAATGTTTAAGTAAAATGGTGTACGTGCTGATGCATAGTAATTTTAAACCTGTGTACCGTCGTGCTTAAAATTGTGCGTGAATTTGCATCGATTTATGCATCTTAACGCATGATTGTATGCAAATTCCACGTATGCACTCAATCGTTGAAGTTCCACGTACAAAATTCTACCCAAACATTTAGTGTGTCCGAACCCAATAGTGAATTCAGTACGCTCTTCAACTTGTACTCAGGAGTACTCTCGAACTTCTTCTCAACTACGTAATATTGCCAGGCGGGCTAAGATGTGTGTGTACTGATCTGAGCACACACTCGTTGCAGTGTACTCATACTCCTCTCAGCACACACTCTTGAGAGTGAATTTGTGAGTACACGCCCGAATAGAGTGTACTGAGCACACTGTGGAGCTTGCTGAGTACTTACTGCCAAAAGTCGAAACAAGTGAGCGAAATCGAATGAGACGATGGCAGTTTTAAGTTTGTTTGCGAGTATAAAATAGACATTTTATGAATTTTGTTGCAGTTTATTGTGACTCCAATCAGTTTAAATGTAAAGACGGGCCTTGCGTGAAGCTTCTTGATCGTTGCTCTGGGACGAAGGAGTGCGAAGACGGATCCGATGAGTTTCTCTGCGACCAAAGTAAGTGCATTCGTCTGGTGAGTTCGTTAATCAGTCTGTTCACTGGTCCCATTGTAAACAGCGAACACTGCCTGCATGCCCATTGTTACAGCAAATGCTGCGTAGAGTAAGCTCAACTGAAGTACAAAGAACACTGCACTTGCAGGTACGGAGAAAATCGCCTTTCACGCTCACTGTTCGAAAAAAAAAATTCCATTTACCAGGAGAAAACATTTTGTAAAATAACCCGTTCTTCCTCTTGTTATTTAGAAAAGTTTCGTAAGAAACACGCTGCGAGTCGCTTCGTGAACCTGTGAAATTATGTAGTTCACAGACGGATTATTTCGTCATGTTAAAACATTGGTAGCTATGAGCTCTAAAAGTTAAAATTTCACCATAAAGTCTCAGAACATGAAGTCTCAAAACAGATGTTAGCTCTGTAGACCCATACTCTTTGACGTAGCTGGAAAAAAAATTCGTCTTGAAGTTTATCTTACCAAAGACTATCGACCACCAAAATTTTTGCCCAAACAAAAACTAGCCATTTTGGAGGTGTGCTCCTTTGATGTATGGAAACACTGTGTGCAACTATTTTTATTAGTGTACTAGCATCCAATAGAGATAAATTAATATCCTCGGCGGGCATTTAAAGCTGACGCACTTTTCTACGTGACTTCTTATGGATGGATGCAAATTTTTAGTATTGGGTGGACAGGTATTTCAGCTAAAACTGTCTCATGGTGCCCCACCTTCCCTTTCTGCAATCAACACAGTGTTCCTTTGTTCGTTCACACAGTCCCTGAAACCAACATTTCGGTCGGAGACATCTTGACGGTCCGATTGAAGTTCAAGAATGATTCCGGTGGCGTGGGGTTCCTCTTGTGTGACTTCAACACGTGCAGCAAAATTCACGTAGACGGCTCTGCGCCGAACGGAGCCCTGTCCTTCACAGCGTACACCGGCTGCAACTCAATCGGCGGCAACCTCTGCACGGTGGCTCGTTCGGTGAGTGTTACAGTATTCTTGATTTACGAGACGCGTACAGTTTCCGGGATTTGCATTCAGGGCAGGTCATGTCGCACTTTTCGCCTACTCACAGGTGGAATATTACTCTAGGATGCTTATCTTCAGGCCTTTTTTTAGGGAAGAAGTAGCCTAAATGGTATGTATCTCCAGGATTCAGCCTCGCCGAGATTTAATCTGAGTGGCCCTTTATGCAACACGGAAACTTTCTATAGGATTTTAGAAATTTGAACCGTGATTTTAGTGTCAAACTGTGGTTGAAAAGTGTCTTGTGAATTTTGAGAAATTTGCCGTCAAAATCACCGTTTCCATGGTAAAGCTCGACTCGTCAACGGAATACAGAGGGAGAGGGGGGAGCCGAGCCGAACCCGATGAATCGTAGGGGTAGGTTGGGGGAGAAAGGTACAGGGTAAGAAAAGTACACCCTCCTTGTGGCCTACTATATCCATCAGTGTTTTCACACTCAGATTTTCAATCACTGGTCGAGGGATGGCTAAAAGTCAAGACATCAGCTCCACAAGGGTTGTACTTTTCTTACCCTGTACGTTTCTTCCCCGACCTACCCCTACGGATCCCTCCAGAAATGGCGTTCGCCGGTGTCGAATGTTTCTGCATTTCTCCTCCACTGCGAAGTTCGTTTCGTTCCCGCAGGACCACCCAGCCAAATGGACCACGTTCCCGACGGGCGATCTGACGTTCGAGGTGCAGAGGCGGCCATCAGAGCTGGCAGTCTGGCTGGAGAACCACGCCGACAAGAAAGTGACGGTGCCGGTGTGGCGTGGCAGCGACCGACTGCGAGTCAGACCTCACTTTTGGAGGTCTGAAATGACGGTAGATTTCGATGGTAAGCCTTCTTTACGGTTGTCTGCTTCTTCCGTCGTCGGTCGGCGAACTTCGTGACCATGGCTTGTAGCACATCCTAGTGTGGGACCGTCTCACAGTGTTAAGCGTGAATCAAAATGTCTCAAGCCTTCAAGTGAGAACCACTCTATCCCAAGCTTGGAAGTGAGAGACACCATGTATCACAAGTGGAAGTGTGGGACCCTGCAGTCTGTTTCACACTGAAATATCAATTCTAGCTCTGCGGGTGCTTAGCCAAACCGCTGTCTGAGGATGGAAATTTAGTGTTGGCGACGATGTTCGTGTCCCAGGCCCTCACTGCGGCAGCGCTCCACTTGCGCCAGTCACCCTCACGGTCAACGGCGAGGAGGCGGACCTCGGCGTCTACCCGTGGCACGCGGCCATCTACGAACGGTTCCCGGACACAAGGAAATACATATGCGGCGGTTCTCTCATCTCTCGCACCATGGTTATCTCAGGTTAAGTATCGACGGGAGCACTTGGACACTGCACGGTAAAAGCTGTATCTGGTTTTCCCAGGAAGCCTATGTTAGAGACAAAGGCGATTTCCAGGTTGTTCCTGGGGAAACCAGGAACCGTTTTTACCGTGTAACATACTTGTAAGGCTTTTTTTTTATATAGCATTTGAGCTCCATTCAATTCTGCCAGAGCATTATTTCATCTTCGAGGTTGTCGAACCACGATAGCTCGCGATAGCTCTTGTTTGTAGCGACATAATATGCACATGCACTGCGGTTGCAAAGGCTACGAGCATACAGCACGCATGGTGCGCAGCTTTGAGATATCTCGGATATCTCACCTTACGTGCGATGTGTTCCGAGAAAGACCTACAATTATGCGTAGAAAGGCATGGCGAGGGGGTGAACACTCCAAGAAATCGTGTTCAGAGTACTCGGTATCACGGCATTAAAATGCCAAAACTTGGCACATTTAGCTCCAAAGTGGTATTACAATTACGCGTACGCGTAATACACGGCTTTTGTGAACAGGGTATTACATGATTGTTTACCCCCTCCAGGCGCTATAGCGCTTCACGTGCGATGCAAACGCTTTGCACCAACGGGTGAGCGATTCTCACGTTTCGGGGTAGTTTTGACGTCTCTGATTTGCCGAAAGTGAGAAATATCCAATTAAGTTTTTCTCATTATTGGGGTCCTTAGTGATGCTAGAGTAATGGCAATGATATTTTTAGTAAAGACCTTGTACTACCTTCCTAAAAAACATGAGCCCTAATGTATTCCCATACGTTTAAGTGGGTGTTTTGATCACGGAAATTACGTTATCACAGAAGTTACAAAGTGTGAAAATCAGTTTGATGCAGTTTTGACAAAGTTATGTTTAATTTGGTTCGGCCGCGCGGCCCAGCCGCCCGTCCGCTCCTTGCCGGCCCGAGCGGCGCGCATAGCTTCACGCACGCACTAGGCTGTTGCCACCCCCTGACCTGAGCACCAATCACATCCGCTTCGATTGTTGAAGGACCCTGTACTTGAAGCGAAAGAGGGGCCATACTCAGATTTTCCTCTGCTCCCTCCACTTAAATTAATAAACGCATTTGTTACGAATCGCCCCTGTTACAAATCGCCCCATACTCCCATACTCATTGCGTTTGGAATCTCAGTGTATTCACTACGAATTCTTCGTTCACGTGCCGAAGACTTGCTTGGTAGAATTGCGATGACAACTGTCTCTGACATGATCCTTCCCGCGCCTGCTTGCAGTGGCCCACTGTTTCTATCGCAACTTCGAAGTCCAGCCAGCTAACAAATACGATGTCGGTCTGGGAAAACTTTACAGTGACTGGCAGCACGATGAGGTCACAACAGTCTTTAAATCTGAGGTATGAATAACACATGGCACAGTACAGACTCTACGAAGAGTCGCTTTGTAATACGAAGAAAATGAAGGCATAGTTAAATCTACGAAGAAATGCTTCGTAGTATGAAGCGGTATGACGCATGATCCTTCGTAATACGAAGCGTTTCTTCATAATACGAAGCCATTCTACAACGCCTTCGTTTTCTTCGTAGCTATGAAGCAAATGCTTTGTAGGCTTTTCAGAGTGGGGATATTGGACCTATTTTTGTCCCACGGATGATGCAATGTTTAGCACATCCGACGGTGGTTCAAATAGGGTACTTTCGTAGAATCCTGAACAGGAAGCAAGCAGACCAGCAGACGCCAAATTGGCCGGAAACTAACCTCTCTTCGGATCCAAAACTATAGCCGAGCTGTACAAATATTGCTCGCGAAACACATATGCACTGCAAACAAGTATCAAACGACTGTTTATGTTCAAGTGTGGCCGATACGTTTGACTAACGTCTCTTTCCCATGTCAAGTTTGGATCTACTTCCGCCAACATGGCGTCTGTGTGCTTCCGGCTCAGGGATCTACGAAAGTACCCTTTTTACATCCGCCAGGTGGGACACATTGCCCAATCAAAGTTCAGTTTGCAGTAGGCGTCGGACCATATGTTTCACCAAGCGGGAACGAAATTGGATCACGGTCGGAAGTGCTTAAAATTGCATGACTCGTGGGACAAAAAACGCGAATTGAGTGAATTGTAGGCCGTGGAACGGCGTGGAAGCAGCATGGTTTGTTTGGCATAATATTATTGCCTTTCTTAAGGACGTTGCCAACTTATCCCTAACATGCCGCTAACGACTTTCGCCCCTGGACGGGCAGAATCGTTTTGCGCCTTTGGATGGGGCGTGAAGCTGAATGAGACTCCAAGACAAAATTCTACACAGTACAAGCTCTACGAAGAATCGCTTCGTAATACGAAGGAAATGAAGGCATTGTAAAATCCACGAAGAAATGCTTCGTATTATGAGGCAAAATCCTTCGCAATACGAAGCAATTCTACAACGCCTTCATTTTCTTCGTAGCTGTGAAGCAAATGCTTCGTAGGTTTTTAAGATTGTGGAGGCAGTACCCTGTTACGCCCTTGATGGGCGTGAAAGTGAAAGGCTGCCGTAAGGGTGTTGTTTTGATGTCTTTGTGGTACTAGCGTAATCGTACTTTAGCTGTTTAACACATTCACGACCGTCCGGGAACACGTGTCCGGTCGTGAATGTGTTAATCTGCATTGCCCTGCGGCCTCGAAATGAGAGTGGAAATTGTCGCGCGTTGCAGGTCAAGCGTATTCTGAGCCACCCTTACTACCAAGGGGAGCGGAGGCAGTACGGTGACGACATCGCCCTCCTGGAGTTGAAAAAGTCCGTTCAGCTCAGTGACTACATCCAACCAATCTGTTTCGACGAAGAACTCGTGATGAACACTGGGGATAACATACGGGTGAGAAGACGGGTGTGGTGCGCGGGAGAAGATGATGCACACTGTACATATTTTCCATGAAAGTTCAGTTTTGACAGTGTTGAAAGTCGCTTTTCATGTCGGTGGTCTGAACATCCTGAAGGGGGATGGCTCTGAATAAATCAGGCTCTGATACTAAAAAGCAACCTAAATTTTAAGACGGTAGTCTAAGTTCCCATTTCAGCGTGAGTCAATGGTCTGAACTCAGACTTAGGCCTACTTTAACAGTGTACCAACTAAATGTTGCAGGTAGTTGGCTGGGGTGGCGGCCTTACGAAGCTTGAGTCCGTTAACCTGACGTACCAGAGTTTCTCGTCGTGCTTGAATGAAATTCAGTCATCTCCTCACGAGGTCAAATACGTAACCGCTGACAAATTTTGCACCTTCCGCGCCAGAGGTGAGTTTATGGCATCCGCTTTTGTGCTTCTTGAACACTCAATTACACTGGTGAAACAAAGGCATAAAAATTATGCCCTTTAAGGGGCGTAAACGATTTACGCCCTTAAAGGGCTCGACGGTCCCTATCGATAGGCGCGTAAGTCCGAGCGGCGAGAACGTAAGCGCGCAAGTCCGTCCGCCCGGGACATACCGTCGTATCTCGCCCGGGTCGCTACGCAGCGTACTATGTAGATACGGAATGATGCAACGATAGCACGTTACGTAGCGACCCGGGCGAGATACGACGGCATGTCCCGGGCGGACGGACTTGCGCGCTTACGTTCCCGCCGCTCGGACTTACGAGCCTATCGATAGGGACCGTCGAAATCGTTAATGCCTTTGGGAAGGGGATTAAAATTTTGCTTGGAATTCTTATACCATTTACGCCCTTCCCAAGGGCATAAAACGATTTATGCCCTTAAGAGTATTTATGCCCTAAAGGGCGTAATTTTTATGCCTTTGCTTTAACTAGTGTAGGATGAAAAAGTCATAGGCCTAATCAGGACTAAAATTTTGGGAGAGGCATTCTTTGCCACAAACTGGTTGAGAGTTACTTTTCCAAGTTTCCTCCCCGTGTCTTGGTAGGTAGCAGGTACACCCTTATCACCCAAATTCAGGCAATGGGACTCCTGTCACCAAACTATGAATGATAAAATAATCCTCACGCAAATTCGATGATAAAGTGTTCGTTGCCTAAAATATGACATTGAAGAAGACAGTTACATTCTCAGCGTTCAGAGGTCCAAATCCTGCCTTCGTGTTCTAGGCGTGAACCGGCCTGCTGGTGTGACTCAAGGCGACAGCGGCGGTGGCGCGGTGGCCAAGCGCGGAGCCCGGTGGTTTCTCGTGGGGCTGGTGTCGGTGAGAATGAACAAAGAGAAGATATTCGGATTCACTGACGTATCGAAACACAGCAAGTGGACTGTAGGGGCCATGGACGGCGGAAGCTCAAGAAATGTCACGATTCAAAGGCAACGTCGCTCGGTCGTTTAAATCAGCAGTGCAGAGTCAATGTTGTGGTAAGTCAAGGCGTGTCTTATTAAAAAAACGAATGCATATTAAATAAATAATGATTCAAAAGCTTGTTCTAAACGAATTCTGTACTTCTGTTGCAAGTATGACTCTTCTTGCAAGTACACTGTCAAACATCTAACTTTCTTTTCAATTTTTGTAGGTCTTTCCTATTTTTAATCCCTTTTGAAACTATTATCCTTCGTATTTTCGTAAGAAGGCACAGACATCCAACATTGCCGAAAACGAACTGTACGTTTGAAATTGCTTGATGTATCTGGTGCTTCTTTGGGTCTTGGAGTTTTCATGTGAACACTTGCTGTAAAGTCAGAGCCCACTATTCTCAATATGTAAATACTGCGACAGACATAACTTTTGATAGACATCAATGAAAAATAAACAACCTGATGTAACAGAAGGCACTCATTTATTTTAAATTTCTAAAAAATCATCATTTCCAAAGGGAATTGTTTAAAAAGGGCAGTCAGCACTGCTGGTTTACTTATTCTTATCATGAATGTAGAACGTCTGACTAGATGGTTAGTACCACACACAAGCACCTACATGGAAACATTTACGAGGCGTCTCGTTAATGAATGAGGGGAAAATAAACAGAACAGTTTGGTAAAAACGATAGATCTGCATAGTTACTAAAACTAGGGCACAATTCTGTTACAATAAGCGTTTCTCTACTTTCCAGGCAAGTCGCTACTTCCCCGCGAGGAAATGTTGCGCGCCTGGCAGTGGCCTGGCAGGATGGCCTACATGTCAGGCGCTGTCTTTCCCAGTCACGAAGGCGATTTGTCTTCGTCATGCGTCCATAGAGGACAAAGTAGAGACAATATGAGCCCATGAAAAAAGAAGTTCTCTATACATCCACTTTGGTTTTGCTTTTTGGTGTAAGAATTAATATTTTTAACATTACAAGAATATTGATTAACTGTGCTTGACCAAAAGAAGTTTAGGTGCCTAGGGCGCTTACTGACAAAGCCATCTGACCAGACCTTATTTAGGTCTTATTTATGTTCTCCTGTAAGTTTTAACTCCACCCGAATAACGGGCTTTCGCTCAGCCAACAAAGCTGCTTGGCCTTTAAAATGTTTTCAAATTTGAATGAAGAAAAGCCAGCAGTACTACAAAATAATTTCTCCCAAAACACTTTGTAAATTGATTATTTTGTAAACTGCATGTGCCGAAAATTTAGGCCGGAGTGTATCACCTGAGTTCTCTTGTCAAGGACGGCGACATGAAACATTCTGTTGTCTGTCGCGTGCTAGCCGAGCCGCACCGTGCAAGCCTGCCTCATTCAAGTATTAAGGTAGCTCTCGGTATGCATGAGCTGTGCTTTGAGCTGACAGTGAAGACCATCAGCGCGTGAGTGTCGATGGCTCCGTGCACAGCGGGTGGCAGGTAAGTCACCCGAATATGGCCCTTCTAGGAAAATGAGAGGGTCAGTTGTTGCATCCTGCCGCCACGAGGATCACCACCAGTACACTGTGGACGGAAATGAGGGGCCCCCTTCCCCTAGACAGTCCCTTAAAATGTAGGCAAAAAGCAACACTTTGCCTCTGTACACTGTTATTCAAAGAATGTGACATTACATTCGTTAGAATGTGAATTTTGTCACGTTCGCTTGAATACGATGTCACATACGATTGAACGTGACACGGCAATGCGGCCCACCTGATGCGGCTGTCACATTCGTGACAGGAGGGGATCAACATTCAAACGAATGTGACAAAATTCACAGTCTAACGAATGTGTCGTCATATTCGTTGAATAACAGTGTAAGTAGGCAATAAGAGGTACTTTGCCCTCCTCCACCCTCGACAGACTCTGGATCCACCACTGGTACTGTGAAAACACAAGTGTGTGCATGTCACACATTTGAGAGGGGTGTGGGTAAGGAAAAATTTGTTATTTTTTCATGTTTTTTTCAGCCTCCTCTTTTTTGCGGTCATCCTGAAATTACAATGGACATCACCATTGGACTCTTTATGCCTTTTTCCCTTTTACCATCTATTGTTGCTTGTCGGCACTTTTTGAATTTACGCAAACCTTTTTGATTTGGTCGACATTTGGGTTTTAATCCTTGCGCGCAGGATTTCAAATCCAAATATTGTCCCAAAAATCTGACAAAGTTGGCTCATCTTATTATGTATGGCAGACAAGGGAGCCGGATTTCAAAAACATGTTTTCTTTCGGTTTTGGTCTTGAAAACTAGAATCTTGATTGGTTTTGTGTCACTTTTGGGCGTTCGTTGACCTGTAACTAAAGATTGAATAAAAAAACTCTCTTGTCTTCTGACACTGATTATTTTAAGCTGCCACACAGACACAAACTTCTAATCGAGAGAGTGTCGCTCTTGAGTGCCGCCATGAGAGGGGGCTCGAGGGGCTTCCCCGAGGGGTGCACGCGTCACTTCATCCACCGTGACTCCAGTCACTGCCTTGTCTCAGCCTTCAGTCACTTAAAAAGCCGACACACGCGTAAATTTGCCCCATTTGCGGCATTTTTGCAACTCTTTTCGTGAGATTTACACTCTTAAAAGCCTACGAAGCATTTGCTTCGTAACTACAAAGAAAATGAAGGCTTTGTAGAATTGCTTCGGATTAATGAAGGAACTTCGTATTACGAAGGATTTTACTTCATAAAACGAAGCATTTCTTCGTAGATTTTACAATGCCTTCATTTTCTTCGAATTACAAAGCGATTATTGGTAGACTTTTTACTGTGGACATTCGAATCAAAGTGTAAATTCAGTCCAGTCACCAGTCAGTGTACACCTATTTCCCAAGTGAGGCACTCCTCGGGCTTCCCATTTCAGCGGTGATCGTACGAAATATCGTCCTTTCGCAGACCGTCGAGATGAAGGGCTCCCGGGATGCTGGGCCACCTGGCCTGTATTCTGGAGGACAGTCTCAAACATGTCTGAAAAACTCTGCGTCGGCCTACGAGCTGTCAGCGCACTTAGAAGGATGGGTGTGGTACCTGTCAGAGAGCGGCGATCCACACGTGCTACGACGTTTCTTGAAATATGTCAGAGAAGCACAGGTATAGCGGCTCTAGGGCGGCAATCTTCCAACGCACCCAACAATACAAGTCTGAGAGTGCCGAAATGTCAAACACAGCACTGTGTTGGACATTTCTGCACTCAGACTAGTAGGGGTCGGTTGGGGTGGGGAAGAAAAGTACAGGGTAAGAAAAGTACAACCCTTGTGGAGCTGATATCTTGACTTTTAGACATCCCTCGACCAGTGATTTCAACGAAAATCTGATTGTGAAAACACTAAATGCATGTCGTGGACTGGAGCAGTAGGCCACAAGGGGGCCGTACTTTTCTTACCCTGTACTTTTCTTCCCCAACCTACCCCTATTATCTTTTTTTTTCAATTAATGACTTTTTCTCCTGCTAAGTTAGTTTTTGGCCCGCCCTTCTATTCAGAAAATAGGGGGAGGGCCTTAGCATTTGCCTTTGTGTCTGTGTGTCGCTGTCGTCGTCGTCCGTGTACAAGGAGGGAGTTGAGCTAGAGTTCCCAAATGTGGAAGGCACTGTAGGAGTGCCTTGGATCTTGGAAAAAGGGGGTTTGTAGTTTGGTTTGTAGCGTAACTGCAATCTTCTTTTGAAATTTTTCTCATGCCAACAACGTTGAAGACAGATCTTCGCGGTGTTAATGTCGCTGCACCTCCTCTTCTTCGGAGTCGACGCTGTTCTGGCTGAGAACATGGAGACAGCGCGGCTGCCAGTCCGCGGTTTAGTTTCCATACCTGCCGGGTAAAAGACTGTGAAATGTCCACACTGTAAGAAATGAATTGGGAATCATGGAAGGTGCCTCAGTGTTGTAAAAGCTTAAGTTCACGAAGAATCTTCGTGAACGAATGTACGAAATTTCTCCTCGTATAAACGATTGATTCTCGTAAATTTACGAAGAACCTTAAGAAATTACCGAGATTCTATTGAAAACGTAACGGTCGGACACATGGCCAAATTATGGCGTAAAATAAAGCACGCCAAAAAGTCACGCCAAAAGTTGACGCGTCACGAAATAAAGGCCGAAAAACGGCTCGGTGTGTGTCACGCCGGCATTTGGCGTGAATTACAATGCGGGAAAAGTCATGCCAAAAACTGTCATGACAAGAAACTCACACCAAAACTTGGCGTGAATTTTTGAGTCACGCCAATTTTGGGACGACTGTTCTGTTATGCCGATTTTGTATGTACCTCTTTATTCACGCCCCTAAAACGGCACGATGGATTTTCAGTGTCTTCGTGCATCGCGCCTTCGGAGACATTTTTGCTTGGTACCTTCGTAAATTCTGGAGATTCACTATTATCCTGGTTTGGCTGAAGTGCCCTTGTCGAGTAGGGTAAAGTGCCGAACATGGATCGGGGTACCAAACATGGATCATTTCTGTTTGGGGGTCTATAACTAAAGACCAGTTGACCAGATTCTAAATTTCTGTCTTTCCTTGCTTAGACTGACCCTTTGACTGTTCGATGTTAATCTGACAAGTTTGTAACTGCGTCTCTCTACTCTGCAGGGTTGCGTTTAGAAAGACACCTAAAACAGGCCCCCGAAAATCGATGGAAAAATGACGTTCAAAAAGGTAATTTTTGCACCCCTGATTCTGGGCCAAGCAATCACCGCAGTCACTTCAAAATTTTTCATCGTGCACTTTGGACAGCTACTTTGATATTTTTGGACTACTGGATGCATACCTTGCTTTGTGTCCGTACGCTGGTGGGGTGATCCATGATTGGACCACCTTAACCTAATCTTAGCAAAAATAGCCATATTTTCTTGTCCTCACAACTTCCAAAGTATTCGAGTTAGAGGTGCTATTTTTGGTAGCCATATGACCAGTAAGGTAAACATCAATAATAGATTCAAAAATAGTGGTCAACCCATACTTAATTTCGATCTAGAGAAGATAATTTAAAAAGTGATCCATGTTTGGTAACCTTACCCTAGGTGGCGCTTGAGTTAGGCAGCGCACCCATGTACCCAGTCCTTTTTGTCCTAGCATCGTGGTGCACACTATTTTTGTCGGAAAAACCAGCGATCTGAGGGAGGCGTTCTGTGTCGCTGCCTCAGTTGCCAGGGACGTGGAGAGAGAGGCGACGGCCGACGTTAAGGTAAGTAACGCCAACCAATCAGTTCGCTGCCGGCACTACCATCCTCACCCACTCAAGTTTAATATGTCCAACAGTGCAAGTCAAGCTGCTTTCTTAACTTGCAGAGCTCGTAGCTTCCATATTTTATTTAATATTATTTTTGATAATTGATCCAGGAAGCGGAAGAAGGGAATAACTTGACTTATACCCAAATTGAGTTTTTATTTTATTATTGTGCCTTAGAATGGTTTACATCGTTACACCAAATTATTTGACTGAATTCCAAGCAGTTTAGGAGAAAATCCACATGGAAAAAGGGTATAACTCAACTTAACCCCTTTTACAGTCTAAATTTCATTGGAAAATGGAGATAACTCAACCTTAGTCTACATGAGTCCGTTTGACAAATTGGCAAAAGGATATAACTCAACTTGTGTTTTTATGGATCTAGTGTAAAAAGAATCAACTCAACTTAACCCCCCCCCTTAATTTTAAATTTCAATTTGGAAAAAAGAGCTAAGTCCAAAAAATACACCAGAGTAACATACACTTTATGCAGACTATTGTTCCACTTGACTTGTCTCAAAATTCCTCTTGGTTTAGGAAATATAAGGTGAGCTGACTCTGTTTTCCATTTCAGCGGAAAGTGATAAGTCGCAGAAATCCTCTATGGAGTGACCTTACAATTTTGATTTTTTTTTCCAAAATTTTACTAATGCTTTTTGAAATTATTAACATCTGCAACATTCATTTGTTTTGTTTTAGTTTTCCCTGCTAACAGTTTTTTGTTTCTCCTGAAAAATGACCAAAATTGAGTTATCCCCTTCTTCCGCTTCCTGGATCAATTTCACGATGGAAAATTTACAGAGTGGTCCGTTCCCAATCATTTCGCAATAAGGATTTTCTTCTAATGTTGAATATTGATTCTATAGCGTGTTGATATACTTCATTTCAAATCACCTCCCAAAATATTTATGCTGTAATTCATTCATTCAACCAAAAGCACGCAACTCAACTCGGAATCGAGGAGTGTAACCTAGACATGCCACTGCCGTCACACCAAGTTGATACCCGAGCGCAGTTTCACTGTTATTACAATGCAGCAAGGCAGGTTCGCGATGCTACGTCACTTCCGACAATTCACGGCTCCAGCTTACGCCTACCATGCGCCTACCTAGGCCTCCCGCGCGGTCTTGCGTTCCGCACGATTCGGCAATCTCCTTTGCCAGAAACCGGCAAACCAACCGACGTGGTCGCTTATCAAATCATTTTTTTTCATTTACGGTGAAGGGCTCTGCTCCCCAAACCTCCCTTTCAAGTATGGTGATACACTGTTCGCTGGGCATAGACTGCACGTCACTTTTGGGCTTGGCACCCTCAAAAACATCAGACAAGATAAATTTGGCAAAATATTTCTTGTCAGATTGCAGCCTATTGGGGATTTGAAGCTGGATCGAAGGACAAAATGGTTCCCGTTTTCGCCATCAGACAGATTCCAGACCTCAAGGGCAAGCCATTTGCCGACACCTCATGGATTTGGACCAAACTTGGTACACCTATACCTTTTGAGACAACAATTTGTTTAGAGAATTTATTGTTGTTGTTAAAAATGAAACAATGTTTGAAACTAATTTGACGTCATCATCAAGAGTGCTCAAAATCTCATCAAAGACTCATCTATATGTTGTCTTTTCACCTGCCAAGGGCCAACATGGTGAACTAAATACTTAGGGAGATATCATGGCCGTTCAGAAGCGTTCGGATACGCACGCGCGCACGCAGGATGAAAGAAAATACATTTTTCAGCCACTTCGTCATCGTTCAGCCAATGATTCGCCGTCCAAAATGCTTTCTGTTTCAGTCTCTTTTTAGACAAGAGGCCCGAAAAGCTATGCAGCGGGCGCGTGCCATATCAGCTTATGCAATTCTGGCTTTGGTAAGAATGTCTCTGGCAATGTCCAGCATATAATTTGCGGTATCAAGTAAATTAAATTTCACAAGTTTGAAACTTTTCTACGACTACAAATACACTGGTTTTCTAAGTGGAATATTTAACTCATTTCAAATGCAATATAAC